TACGTACTTCGAGTACATTTTTAGGAGCTTGCATATTAACAATCGCTGAAACCTTATCCGGGTCAACCAACAATTCACTATCATTCACCACATAACCTAGATATGTTGATTCAGGTCGACAGAAATTACATTTCTTCTTCTTGAGAGTCAAGTTAGCACGCAGTTNACGGAGAAATTCCGGATTTTGCACGCAATTCTTATTTAAGAACTTTTTTTTACTGGTTAAAACCTCACACCATCTCGAGGTAGGTGTATTTAATTTTTTCTTTGCGCCTTAAAATGGATCTTAATATCTTTTAATATTTTTATTATATTCGCACTCAGGTTTTCTTTGAGGGAGCAAAATTTCTTAATTATATTAAGTTTAAAACCATTGTTGAGGAACGTCATTCTTTTTTTTTTTTTAAAAAAAGAAACCCAGTTCCGATATCTCTAAAAATAAAATCTACAAGACGAAGACAATCACCATCCTTGTCCTTCGTAATCGTTCAAGGAGTGGGCCTGCAACTATTTCATCTCCATCTGTCAACAAGTTTTGAAGAATAATTGAAATTTCGCAACAGCAAGGTCAGATAACATTTTTTTTTTCTAATCGACAAAAGTAGTGTGTAAATTTTTAATGAAGTTTGTTATTTTTGTTTTAAATCTGGTATTTGAAATTTCACTGGTTCGATTTTGATTGTTAATTTACTTTGTAAAAGATCGATTTAACAATTTATGTTGGGGGTTTAGTTTTGTTGATTTTTTTTTATATATCACTTATACGTTTGCCTGAACCAGATCTGCTTCACTCGGGAACGTGTCGCGATTTAAGATAGGGTTTTATTTTCTTTTGATTTTTTTTTTTTGACCACTTTGGTCAATTAGTTATTATTATTTTATCAGTTTTTTTTTTAAATTACCTCAGATAATTGATTGGTCAATTCTTAGTTGTTTTTTTTGGTTGTGTTGAACCCGAAAAGAAAGTTTAGTTTTTTTTTACCAAATTCAAAACCATTTACGAGTCATTTCATTTATATACTTATTTTTTTTTTATATACACACATTTTTTTTTTTTTATTTTTTTTTTAATAAACGTTATTGTTTGTGGCTTGAAAATTTCTGTGTTTACTTTTGATATTTCTTGTGTATTGTTCATTTTGTTTTTATTTCCTTTTAAACTGAATAACTTCTCTTCGCAATTAGAGGCATTTGCGGTGGTAAATTGCGTGGCGCCCTTAAAAATTGGCGCCCGTCTTCCCTGGGTAAGCCGAGGTGCCGCAAATTAAACGACTTTAAATAAAGGAAATATTCGTGCTATTGTTTTCGTAATTGTAATTTCGATAAGGTCGTCGTAAAAAAACCAAGACCGCAAATCAAGATACCAAGCTGATAACCTGTTCACCACCTTCAGTCTCCTGACCCAAGACCGCACCAACACCAAAATCAGAATCATCAGTTTGGACAGAAAAAGGAAGAGAAAAATCAGGACACGCGAGAATCAGAGCTGAAATCAGTTGTTGTTTCAGTAAGGAAAAGGATTTCTCACATTNACTACCACTGATTCAACAGATCTCGGAGCATCCCTGTGTAACCATAGCATAAGCATGTGCATCATATGCGCGTTTTTATTTTGTCCGGCACATCCATCTGCGAATAGCCTTATTTGCTTAATATCTGGCCCAAATTCTTCCTTATTAAGGAAATCGTGTAAAGCCGAACTTGTTTCTGCAGATCCCCTTTTCGCCTGGTGTTCCATCCACGTGTAGAATATTGGTTTTTTAATATCTACGTCAGTAACACAAAAACAATAAAAAGATAATTGCTGAGCATAAAATGCTGCTTGGATAGGAACTTTGGGTAAAACTTGTACTTGTTGGAGGTCAAAACAATATGAAGCACTGTGAGTAGGTTTTTCCTTCATTAGTTTAAAAAATTCTTTAGCTCGCACTTTATGTACACGTAGGGCAATTTTCAAGTTCTCTATCTCATTTTTAACTTTGCAATTGGTAATAGAAGTTTGAGTTCTAACACAAAAACCACACACGTCTGTGGCAGGGCTTCCGAATGCAATGTTAAACTTATTACTGAATATTCTGCTAAAGTACTTGTAATTTACTTTTAAATTTTCTACCGTATTTGCGTTGTACAGTTTCCATAACACAGTGATATTCAGTTCTGATGGTAAGTAAATTCGGCGAAATTTAGCGCGCCCGTAATGACTCTCATGTCCTTTTAATCCGGCTATAAATTTTTTCACATTTTCAAGTCTATCAACATTCTTGAAAGAGCGTTTGTCTCCCCCACGTTTTTCAACAATACCACAACCAGACTGAATTTTCTCAGCAATAGTATTAACACGTCTCTGAGTTACACTGAATACTTTTAGGAACAGTTTTTGGCAAATGTTAATTTTTTCCTGATCCTTCCAAACCTACAAAAAGTATTAATAGTATTTTTTACATCTTGCAGACAGAAAAAGAATACGAAGTATAACTTACAAAGTATTTTATAGTGAAATTATGGGATATCTTTTTTTCAGGTTTTCGATTTCTAACTCTCCTTGGTTTATCAATAGCTATAAAATTTCCTAGTTTATTATCTTGAAGATTTTTATTTTTTGTTTTAATTAAAATTATTTCTAATTTCTTTTATAATATCGTCTTTGCTTATTTCATGACATCGAAAATCTTTACGTTTATGGGTACAGGAAAAGTCAATGTGTTCCAAATTAGGGAAATGGTCTGAATGCCTTAACAAATGATAAAAATAAAAAAAACAATATATTTAATAAAAACATAACCAACAAAATTATTAAAACTTACCTAATTTCACTTTTACGCTGTTTTGCAGTAATATTTCTTTGTCGCTTTCTGGTTCCTCGCTCAACATCACCGACTACATGCTGTGCTTCATCGGTTTCATTCATTATGTGAACGATCAACTTAGCTAATTAAGGGTTAATAAACGAAAACAGAATACTAACGAGTGACATTTAACGGATAGCGACAATCAAATAGCAGTTAGTCCACAGAAAATAAATCGGTCTGCAAAATCTTGTAGACGAAGGTTTTGGATTCTGCCATACGACTGCTTTATTTTTTGTTGAGTTTACTTGTAAGGGTACTAGGCACACCGACAACAAAAACGCATCTGTTTGTGAAGTTGATACGTTTTCAAATTTTTGCTTGTATAAAGAGTGGCCGGAACTTCCATCATATCCCCATTTATAAAGAAGCGTTAGTTCGTTGCCAATATTTTCAAGATTTTGCAAAATTACTGTATCTATTGACTTTATTAATCTACTGCTTGTGTGATCAGCTAAACATTGTAGTGTAACTTTGGCAGACGTTTCGTTAATTGCAATATATTCTTCTTTCGGGTAACATTCTTTCTTGGCTTTTAATAATTTGTCGTAACTAGGGTATATGTTTGCTTGACGTACCTTTGCTCCAGATTGCATTAATTTGTAGGAATGCTTTGTGAACCCACTATCTATGTACAATGCAAGCGCTTCTTCGGTTGTGTATTTTATTGGTTGGTTCGGTGAAGACTGCATTTTTTTTTTATAATAGTTGCTCTGGTAGGTGAGTGATCTGCAACTTCCTTTACTATTTTAGCACCGTCTCTGCGTCCAGATTTAACGAAGCTTGTTTGTACTGCAAACGATAATTCTTCTTGAGAATGGTGTTCCACTAAGGGTTTCACTTTTCTTCTTTTTGACATTGGCGTTAAATTGGCGTCATAACGAAAATTCACTTTTAACAATTTTAATTTTTCACCTCAGTTGGTGTTGCAGAGATTAAGTGATAATTAAGAAGAGATTAAGAGATAAGTTGAGTACATACTTATAGGACAATTAAATGGTCGCACAAATTAATATGGTAAATAATGTAACGAAATGCAGTCGACGGAGGGTGCACTTAGGTCACTAATTACCAGTCGACCTAAGGGGCTGGGGATTTTATGATACTAATGAATTGAACATTCTATAAATAGTATTTACAAGAATTATCGTTATTCTGAGAAGTACAGTTTGACTGAAATGTTCGCGTAGATTTGAATAAACGACCACTGTGCGCCGGCGTGATAGCCCGAGAGCTTACCACGGGGCAATTCGCCCCCCTGAATTCGTCCTAGTGTCATCATGTTTTATGATCGTTAAATCCAGAAAGTTTATTCTGTTGTTGTTTTCTAATTCTACTGTGAATTGTAAATTGCTGTGTAAAGTGTTTATGTAGTTGTGTAGGTCTTGTATTATAGTGTCGTTGTTGACGAAAACTAAGATATCATCTACATACCTTGTCCAAACATTATGTTGTTTATGTATGGATTTCTGTCGTTTATTATTTGTTCTTTTTCAATTTTATTAAGGAAGATATCGTGGCGAGTACACCACTCAGTGGTGATCCCATAGGCAAGCCGTCTTTGTACTTATAGAAGGTATTATTGAATTGGTAGATTCGCCATCTGTTGATTTCTTTTTAAAACTTTTGACAGCTCCAAACGCCTCGCCCGCCTTTCCGCTTTGAGCACCATCTGCATTTATATCCAATAACTTCGCTTTTATTGTTTCCGTTTTTATCGATATTCCGGAAAGTTCGATCGCCATTAACATTGGAGAAAACTTCTCAGGTAAACCCGCCAATAATAATGATCCGACCCATTCATCATCGATATTGAACCCTGTTCTTCGGAGTCTCTGCGAGGTTTCAATAACTTGATTCACATAATGTTCCATTGATTCACTATTTTCCAATCTTAACGAAATAAGCTTCTTTAATAAACCAATTCTTGTAAATTCCGTTTCTGCGTATAGTTTTTGCAACGTTATCCACATGTCATGTGCTGTTTTTGTTTCTCATACATGAACATATAAAGTAGGATCGAGCGTTAAAACTAATATCGCCTTGACTTTTGATACCTGCTCTTCCGACTTTTCTGTTCCCTCGATACAGTCAGACAGTCCCTCGAGAATAAAGAAATTTTCAACCGCGAACTCCCACTCATCGTAATTTTCCCTACCGTTTAATCTCGGTACGCTTGATAAGTAATTCGCCGTCAACCTGGCTCAGAGAGTCTCGATCGGCCGGTCGCTTCCTTCCGATGGTGTTGGAAGGAGATGTCGCTTGCTTGTTTCCCGCGACTACGGCACCTCTGGTTGGAGTCGGCTCAGTGTTAATGGCTTCTAGTGCCATTCTCGGCCTAACCGGAATAGGGGGGGGGGGGGGCTCCAGGGGTGAAGAAGGTGGTCTCTTCTTCCCTCGCATACTTAGGGTCCCCGTCTTGTCAACGCTGGTTTCGGTATCCGGGTGACTGTAGGTCGTGTCTTTCGCCTTCTTTGCAGAGGCATCTCGAGGTTTTGTGGGGGTCTGCTTTTTAGAGCTCACTGTATCGGTCGAGAGGGAGCTAGATGATGTTGCTCCTGTTACTGATTTGGGCTGGCCGAATGTGGAAGACTTCGGGGACGTCTTTATGTGGAAGGTTTTAAAGACACATTCCTTTACCTTCTCCCTGGCCCGCTTTAGAAAGCCAGCATATTCCGGCTTTTCGCGGCGATGGCGGATTTGATGTTCTGTCAATCCGGTTGCAGACTTTACCTCTTTGATCGATATTACACCGCCCATGCTTTTGGCTTCGATCATAGCGATCTTTTCCATTAGCTGTGGTTCAGGTACTGCGGTTTTTGCTTCTAGCGCTCGTTGGTACTCGACTGGGTGAGCGCGCCTCTCATGCTGCCTAACGGCAGGGAACCTGTCGAATGCGATATAACAATAAAGACACTTCGTGCAGTCTCGAGCCATACATTGACCTATCTGGGTCTGGGCCCATAACCTATTGAAGGTTTAAGTGCAAACTTATCGGCTGCTTTGTAACGACTTGCTTTATTTTTCTACAACGGTTATATACGCGTTATTTTTATTTTCAATTTCTAAACTTAGATGGCGCAAAGCTACCTAAATTGAGGATACAACAACATGCAATCTTCAAAATGTGCGCTACATATTCTTCTTTTTGCAACCGTTTCCCGGTTTAAGATTCCTAATTCTTTTCTTTCCATCTGTTGAAAATTCGTATTCATTTCATTTATTTAGTCGTGAGTATTGCGTACCGAGCAGGGGCGTCAGCGCTGTAATGAGCTCTTACATTGACGTGCGCAATGTGTATGCGAGCAACAGAAATTTTTCACGCAAATCTGGTCAAGGTAAAAGAAAATTCATATTTTAATCTTTACTATAAAACTTATTAAATAATAAAAGAAAAACTACACAAGAAACAATGAAACAAAATTTATCAATCAAGAATAATAAAAAGAAAATCTACAAATAAAATCTAATACACAAAATTTACCAAACCAAAATTATTGAACAAAATCTATCAAGCAAATACTATTAAACATAATTTATTATACAAATATACGAAAGACATACCAATCAACAGAACCAAAAGCAGTTAGTAGTATTGATTTACAAAATATTACTTACACAGGTTTAAAAATCTCATTGTGATACGGACCAATAATCTTAATCTCGATTCTCAACTGAAAGTACTAGAACTGGAACTCTAACTCGAGCCCAACCCGAACTTTTTGAAACCGGACCAGCTTCTCCCTAGCTAGCCTAGACTTAATTCCGACTAAATTCCCGACTGGACTAGGCCTCTCCTCGGACTATT